TTCATTGACAGCATAAGTAACGTTAAAATACAGTCTGGCAAAAACAAAACAAAACAAACAAACAAAACAGATGGAAATTTGTTTATCTACACAAAAGAAAAAAGAAGAACAGTAAAGATAAATTTGTGGGTAAATATAAAAGACTTTTCCCTCACTTTTAAATCATTTTAAATAATACTTGACTGTTTAAAACTAAATAAATAAGAACAATGTTGTATGTGTTTATAAAACATGTAGATGTAAAATGTATGACAAAAACAATACAAAGAATGGAAGGGGGAAATGGAAGTATACTATTGCAAAGTTCTTATACTGTAGGTGATGTGGTATAATACTATTGGAAATAGATTGTGAAAAGTAAAAGATGTGTATTGTAAACCCAGGAATAACCACAGTAAATAAAAAACAAAGAGATATAGTTATTAAGTCAATACCTAAACCAAAAAACCAAATCCACTGCCATCAAGTCGATTTTGACTCATAGGGACCCTATAGGACAGAGAAGAACTGCCCCATAGAGTTTTCAAGGCTGCAAATCTTTACAGAAGCAGACTGCCATATGTTTCTCCCTCAGAGTGGCTGGTGAGTTCAAATCACCGATATTCTGGTTAGCAGCTGAACACTTTAACCACTGGGCCACCAGGGCTCCTATATTATGCCAACAGTGGAGGTAAAATGAAATCATAAAACATACTCAATTCAAAAGGAGTCAGGAAAAGGTGGGGGGGGGGGTAACAAATAGAAAACTAATAGCAAGATGGTAGATTTAAACCCAACCACATGATGATCATATTAATATAAGTGGTATAAGCACTCCAACTAAAAGGCAGACATTGTCAGACTGGATAAACAAGCAAGACTCAGCTATGTGCTATCTATAAGAAACCCACTTTAAAGACATAAATAGGTTAAAAGTAAAAGGATAGAAAATCGTATACCATGATGAAGCTAATCAAAAGAAAGGTGGAGTGGTTATATGAATAGCGGACAAGGAGGAATTCAGAACAAGGATTACTACCAGGGTGAAGAAGGACATTTCACAACAATAAATGAATCTAATCATCAAGGGAATATAACAATTCTAAATGTATATGCACCAAATAACAGAGCTTCAAAATACATGAAACAAAAACTATAAATGGAGATTTCAACACCCCTCTTTCAGTAATTGATAGAACAAGTAGACACAAAATCAGTAAGGGTGGAGAAGACTTCACAAACACTATCAGCCAACCTAATGCACATTTATAGAATACCCAGTAACGGGAGAAATACTTTCTTTTAAAGTGCACACAGAACACTCACCAAGATAGACCATATTCTGCCCCATAATATGTCAGACACTATTGACATGAATACAATACCAACAAAAAAGGCAAGGTATAGACAATAAATACAGTATGTTCCCATTTATGATAATATTGGCTATCTCTAGGGAAGGGATCTGGAGTGGGAATATATACCCTTTGTACTGTTTGAGGTTTTTTTTTTTTTTTTAACCAGATGCTTTTATTACTTTGAATTAGAAAAAATGAAAGAAAGCTATATATAGGTCAAGGAAAATTCACAGGTATCTGGCCCAGGGAACTGAGTTGTGTTATTGTTAGGTGCTACTGAGTCAGTTTCAACTTATAGTGATCCTATGTACAACAGAAGGAAACACTGCCTGGTTCTGTGCCATCCTCACAATCGTTGCTATGTTTGAGCCCATTGTTGCAGCCACTGTGTCAATCCATCTTGTTGAGAGTCTTTCTCTTTTTTGCTGACTTTCTACTTTACCAAGCATGATATCGTTCTCCAGGAACTGATCCCTCCTGATAACGTGTCCAAAGTACATGAGATGAAGTCTCACCATCCTTGCCTCTAAGGAGCATTCTGGGTGTACTTCTTCCAAGACAGATTTGTTTGTTCTTCTGGAAGTCAATGATATATTTAGTATTCTTCGCCAACACCATAATTCAAAGGCGTTAATTCTTCTTCGGTCTTCCTTATTCATTGTCCAGCTTTCAAATGTATGTGAGGCGATTGAAAATACCATGGCTTGAGTCAGGCACACCTTAGTCCCTAAAGTGACATCTTTGCTTTTTAACACTTTAAAGAGGTTTTTTGCAGCAGATTTGCCCAATGCAATACGTTGTTTCATTTCCTGACTGCTGGCTCCATGGGCATTGATTGTAGATCCAAGTAAAATGAAATCCTTCACAACTTCAATATTTTCTTTGTTTATCATGATGTTCCTTATTGGCCCAGTTGTGAGGACTTTTGTTGTCTCTATGTTGAGGTATAACCCATACTGAAGGCTGTGGTCTTTCACCTTCATTGGTAAGTGCTTCAAGTCCTCTTTACTTTCATCAAGCAAGGCTGTGTCATCTGTATATCTCAGGTTGTTAATGAGTCCTTCTCCAATCCTTGGCGCCGTGTTCTTCTTCATATAGTCCAGCTTCTCAGATTAGTTGCTCAGCATACAGATTAAATAAGTATGGTGAAAGGATACAACCCTGACACACACTCTTCCTGATTTTAAACCATGCAGTATCCCTGTGTTCTGTTTGAACAACTGCCTCTTGGTCTATGTACGGGTTCCACACGAGCACAATTAAGTGTTCTGGAATCCTATTCTTCGTAATGTTATCCATAATTTGTTATGACCCACACAGTCAAATGCCTTTGCATAGTCAATAAAACACAGGTAAACATCTTTCTGGTGTTCTCTGCATTCAGCCAAGATCCATCTGACATCAGCAACGATATTCCTAGTTCCATGTCATCTTCTGAATCCAGCTTGAATTTCTGGCAGTTCTTTGTCAATGTACTGCTGCAACTGTTTTTGAATCATCTTCAGTAACATTTTACTTGCATGTGATATTAATGATATTGTTCGATAACATCTGCATTTTGTTGGATCACCTTTCTTTGGAATGTACATAAATATGGATCTCTTCCAGTTAGTTGGCCAGGTAGCTGTCTCCCAAATTTCTCTGCATAGATGAGCGAGCACTTCCAGTGCTGCATCTGTTTGTTGAAACATCTCAGTTGGTATTCTGTTAATTCCTGGAGCTTTGTTTTTCACCAAGGCCTTCAAAGCAGCTTGGATTTCTTCCTTCAATACCATCAGTTCTTCATCATATGCTACCTCCTGAAATGGCTTAATGTTGATAAACTTTTTTTTGGTACAGTGACTGTGTGTATTCCTTCCATCTTCTTTTGATGCTTCCTGCGTTGTTTAATATTTTCCCCATAGAATCCTTCAAGATTGCAACTTGAGGCTTCAATTTTTTCTTCAGTTCTTTCAGTTTGAGAAACGCTGAGTGTGTTCTTCCCTTTTGGTTTTCTAACTCCAGGTCTTTGCATATTTCATTATAATACTTTACTTTGTCTCTCGAGCTGCCCTTTGAAATCTTCTGTTCTGCTCTTTTACTTCATATTTCTTCCTTTTGCTTTAGCTACTC